CATGTGAATTCAGATATTGTGGGCAAGTTCCACCAATCCCTGCCTTTAAACAAGAGGACAAGTTCTGGAAAGATCTCTTCTTTCAGACTAAGGATCATATAGGTTGTCTTTTTTAATATGTATTTTTAGTTTTTGGCGGACACAACATCTTTATTTGTAATGTGGTGATGAGGATCAAACCCGGCGCCGCATGCATGCCAGGCGAGCGTGCTACCGCTTGAGCCACATCCCCAGCCCCCATATAAGTTGTCTTTTGCTTTATAAAACACTCAGTTTAAAAATCATTGCAATAGAGATTTATATAACCTCTTCCAAAAACAGTTTAAAAATTCTAGCTGTAGAAATAAAATAGGTAAGATCCTGGAGGTGGGTCTGCAGAACTGCACAAGGATTCCCTGCCATTTCACTTGCAGATGGTGGTTGGAATGTTACAGAACATCTTCTTTGAAGAGCTTTCATTTAAAATTACACCATTTTTCAATTATGTCTGCTAAAAAGATATGAAAATAGAAACATATATCTAAGAAATGAAGCTACTTCATATGACCTCTTAAAGTAGACAGCCTAAGCTTCCAAAATCTCCAAGTTGAGCACATTTTAGTAGTTCTTTTCACACTGTGAGTTTATAAGACAATTGCTTTTTGGTTCCAGACTGTAAGTGTTAAACTTAGTATTAAAATTCTCAGTGCACAATGGAATTTAAACAAAATATTATGATTTTCAAGGCCAGTGAAAGCCACTGGTGCCTCAACTTCAATGGGCTGGCTTCCTGGTGGAGACACAGCCGCACTAGGCTCCTTTTTCTGCACTCCTGGGAAAACTTGGTCTCTACTCACAATTAAACCTCAGGTGCCCTGCGCGCCTCCTACCCGGCACAGACCCTGCAAATGCTGATCTGCCCTTGTCACCGCCTCCTCTGAGTGACCCTCGCAGCCGCTGCCCTGCTGCGCCGGAGCGGAGCGCCTTCCTCCTCTCCTCTCAGCCCGCACCGTGCCCGCGCTCCCAGGTTCCGGGTTATCTTAAATGTATGTTTTCTTGGAGCTTTAAAGACGGAAATGACAGAAATGACTGGCATGTCTCTGAAGATGATGACAGTTCGGCCCCAGCTGAAGAGAAAAAACAGAAGGGCTCTGAATGCTGTCTGACCAAAAGACAAGGTGGGCTGCAGAAACGATGGCTAACCCAAACCCGGGCCACCAGAACCTGTAAGTGCCAAGAGAGGCAAAATGACTACTGATGATCAGTTGGAGGAAGAGGAAGAAGAGAAGGAAGATGGCCTTTCAGAGGAGGGGGAGGAGGAAGAGGAAGCAGTTTTGCAGACATAATGAGACATGGACTTACTGAACTTGATTGTAGGCATCACCAAGTTTGTAAGTTCTCATCAAGGATTCTCCGGAATTTTAAAAGAAAGATACTCTGACTTTGTTGTTCATGAAATCAGAAAAGATGGACAGATCAGCCATTTGGATGACTTGTCTATTCCAGTGGAGGAGGAGGATCCTTCAGAAGATGTATTTACAGTTTTGACAGCTGAAGAAAAGCAGCAACTGGAAGAGTTCCAGCTTTTTAAAAATAAGGAAACCAGTGTTGCCATTGAGATTGCAGATGATCAGCTGGTCATGAAATCAAGTTAGTATGTCTTACAATCAACTTTTTTTTGATCAACCAGAGATTGAACTCAAGGGCTCTATACTACTAAGCTACATCCCCAGCCCTATTTTGTATTTATTTAGAGACAGGGTCTCACTGAGTTGCTTTAGTGCTTCACTGTTGCTGAGGCTGGCTTTGAACTTGTGATCCTCCTGAGCTGTTAGGATTATAGGCGTGCTCCACCAAGCCCTGCTTTACAATCAACATTTTTTAATTAATTTTTTTATTATATATGATAGTGAAATGCATTACAATTCTTATTACACATATAGAGCACAATATTTCATATCTCTGCTTGTATACAAAGTATATTCACACCAATTCATGTCTTCATACATGTAACTTTGGATAATAATGTCCATTATATTCCATCATTATTTCTAACACCACGCCCCTCCCTTCTCTCCCACCCCTCTGCCTATCCAGTTTGTCTGTTCCTCCCATGCTCCCCCTCCCTACCCCACTATGAATCAGCTTCCTTTATCAGAGAAAACATTCGTCATTTGTTTTTTTAAGATTGGCTAACTTAGCACTATCTTCTTCAACTCCATCCATTTACCTGCAAATGCCATGATTTTATTCTCTTTTATTGCAGAGTAATGTTCCATTGTGAATATATGCCACATTTTTTAATCCATTCATTTATTGAAGGCATCTAGGTTGGGTCCAGTTTAGCTATCGTGAATTGTGCTGCTATAAACATTGATGTGGCTGTGTCCCTGTAGTATGTTGCTTTTAAGTCCTTTGGTTATAGACCCAGGAGAGGGATAGCTGGGTCAAATGGTGGTTCCATTCCCAATTTTCCAAGAAATCTCCATACTGCTTCCATACTGGCTGCACCAATTTGCAGTCCCACCAGCAATGAATGAGTGTACCTTTTTCCCCACATCCTTGCCAACACTTATTGTTGTTTGTCTTCATAATAGCTGACATTCTGAATGGAGTGAGATGAAATCTTAAGAGTGGTTTTGATTTGTATTTCTCTAATTGCTAGCAACGATGAACATTTTCATATATTTGTTGATTGACTGTATATCATCTTCTGAGAAGTGTTTGTTCAGGTCCTTGGCCCATTTATTGATTGGGTTATTTGTTTGTTTGTTTTTTTTTTGTTTAGCTTTTTGAGTTCTTTATATACCCTAGAGATGAGTGGACTATCTGATGTGTGAGGGGTAAAGATTTACTCCCAAGATGTAGGCTCTCTATTCACCTCACAGATTGTTTCTTTTGCTGAGAAAAAAAACTTTTTAGTTTGAGTGCAATCAGCATTTTTTAATGGAAATAAATAGAAAATATCTTTGTATTCAGTATAATGTTAGCATTTTTTCGTGAAGTCTTTTTTTTTTAATATGGCCTGTATACCCATTTGTGCTATTAAGTAGAAGTAAAATGTGTTTCTTAGTGTGAGATGCCCTCAAAAACTGAAATGTTGTGTAATCAATAAATTTACATTTTGTTTATATATATAAAAAATTAAAAAAAAAACACAGGTGCACAAAAAAAATGACACTTCATTAGCACCATGGTCTGCACTCCATAAAATACAGTCAAATTTAACTCAAAATAAATGATAAGAATCTACTTATTCAAATGAAATATACTTTTTAACTCACAATTTTAAAAATAATCCTTATGTTAAGGAACACTTAAGATATGCACATAGATTGACTCTCTCTGATTAACCAAATGATGTATGATCTTTACAAATCACGTATTTATGATACATCAAGGAATTACATAACACAGGATCTGGACTGTTTTACATACTGCATCTTTTATATCTAAGACGACTCTTTAAAGGATGCTAATGATCATTTGAAGTGGGAAACTCAAATGTCTAACTGCAAATAAACTGATATGAACAAACAACCCAATTTCAATAGTTTAATACTCTTAGACATCTATTATCTGTCAGTTTCTGTGGGTTGCATGTTGAGCACAGTATACTAGTCACTTTCTTAAGGCTGGCAGGAATGAGGCCTGACCTCAGAGACACCTGGTTCCTCCTTCTCCCATTTTCATCTTATTGGCCTGAGCAATTCAGCACAAGTGCTTTTTTTGTCTCAAAATTAATTCAACTTTTATCTGCAAAACTCCTTCACATTTACCCAAAAGCACTGCTCAGTGTGTTTTACCCATCAACTCTGCCAATTCCTGAGGAGAATCAGGGCACAGCCCCCATCTGCAGGGAACAAAAGGCCCTATCACCAAGCCTGCAGGAGGAAGTCCCCTGGGGACCCCAGAGCCCAGGGACTGTTGCAGCAGCCTCCCAGGCACTTTTGTTGACTCTGAAGATTGAGCAGATAGGGTTCCTTAGTGTTTGCAATATAAGCCCTCCATGACTTTGTGTTGTGATTAGGGAAGCCAGAAATTAACCTTGATGACTATCAAGAAAACAAGTAACAATTAATGCTGGATAGGATGCAGGAAAAGAATTATACACTCATACTTTGATGTTGGGACTGCAAATTGGTTCAATCACTCTGGAAAGCAGTGTGGAGATTCCTTAGAAAACTTGGAATGGAAAAACCATTTGACCCAATTATCCCACTCTTTGGTTTATACCCCAAAGACTTAAAATCAGCATACAATAGTGACACAGCAGGATCAATATTTATAGCAGCTTAATTTACAATAGCCAAGCTTTGGAATCAACCTAGGTACTCTTCAACAGATGAATGGGTAGAGAAAATGTGGTACATTTTGGTACACAATGGAATGTTACTCAGCTATAAAGAATAATAAAATTATGGTATTGGCTGCTGAATGGATGAAACTGGAGAATATCATGCTCAGTGAATTAAGCCAGTCCCCCCAAAAACAAAAGTTGAATATTCTCTCTGATGTGTGGATGCTAACCCATAACAAGGGAGGCAGGGAAAGGAAGTATAGAAACTCATGGGTCAAAGGGGATTAAATGGTGGAGTGGGAATAGAACACAGTAGAATAAATCAGACATATGCTCATATATGAATACAAGAAAGTGTAAATTCACATCATTTTCAACCACGAGAATGAAATAAAAACTGCAATGGGTTACACTCCATTTATGTATAATATGTCAAAACACTCTACTGTCATGTGCATCTAAAAACAATACATAAAAATATAAGAAGTGAGCCTTGATGGTTTATCATTAAGTGTGACCTGACGTTTTCCTCTTGCAAATTTTAATATTCCTTTCTTGTTTTATATGGTAGGACTACTACAGTTTTATTTAGTGCAACCAGAAAACTTACAAATATTAGATCATCATGTATGTTGAAATAAATTTATTTGTTGATATCTTCATTTGCTACCAAAATGTTATTTTATTATAGAGCCTGACGAACTGATTATTAACAGTGAAGAAAAATTTAAATGTACTTTTTATTTCAAGATGTAAAATGCATAGCTAGGCTGAAGCATGCACACTTTTCCTTTTTTATATAACTCCCACAGGTTTGAAATAATGAATCATTTAAATGCTGTTGATTAAGTTTCTATTTAACTTTAGGTGCAAGTATATACCTAGTGGTGAAGAACTTGCCACATTCTCTTACCTTTCTGTTAGAATTTAGAACTTCTCAAAATTCATGCACAATATATATAAAGTCAGAAGGTATTTGAAGAGATAGTACATACTAGATTTTAAACACACCTATATACATAGTATGTATAACATTATGTCATAATATGTAAGAGATGCAAAAAACTTAAAATTAAGAAAAATAGAATCTAATAATATGTAAACAGAGGTTTAACCCATAAAAGCATGTTGCTTTCACATCCTCATGCTGATGCAATATTCATTCACCCCAGGATGCATTTCCATTACCTCTGAATAGACAAAGGAGAAATGAAGGCACACACTTGCAGAACTTTTCTCAAGAAAGATGTCACCTGCTGAAGGAAGCACACAACTAATTCCAATGGCTCAAAAAGCTAAGCAGGAGAAATACAAGTTCAAAGCCAGCCTCTGCAACTTAGTGAGGATCTAAGCAATTCAGTGAGACTATGTTTTAAGTTTTTATAATAATTTAAAAAGGGCTGAGATGTGGTTCAGTTCATAAGCAACTCTGGGTTCAATCCCTGGTACCAAAAAAAGGAAAAACAAATGTACTCAAATCTGAACAAGACTGAATGAAACTGAAACAACTGAAGGCCTTGCCACATTTCTACATACAAGGCTTTTCTCCACTATGAGTTCTTCCATGTGATTTCAAAAGACCTGGAAAGTTGATACTGTGACCACCTTGCTTAAAGGACAGAAGGTGATCTCATTCCTTTCGTGTCTGAAGGAAACTGTGTAAGTTGAATATTGTCCCACATTGTTTATGCACAGGGTTTTGATACTGTGTGAGTCCTTTCATACAACTGAACAAACTAGAATATCTAAAGCCTTTACATTTCTTACTTGAATGAGATTTATTATTCTATTATTATTATTTTGCATAAATCGTTCCAGATGAATATTTCCAGTTCTTAGAAGGAACTAAAAAACCTAAAAGACTTCTCACGTTTCTCACAGTTACAGGAAAATAAAACATCACACTTCCAGGAGATTTGTTTTACAGGGTAAATGAAATTTCTTTGAAGGCAACAGAGAAAAAGGAAGAATTTCCATATTTTTTACATTTAGAGTTATTCAGTCTGAGGTGATGGTGTACACCTGTAATCCCAGCAATCAGGACAATGAGTCTGAAGGATCATAAGTTTGAGGTCAGCATCCAGAACTTAGCATGACCCTAAGCATCTCCACTAGTGCCTCACTCAAAATAAAAAATAAAAATGACTGAGGATGGGCTCAGTGGTCAAACACACAAGTACAAGACAAAACAAAACAAATCTGCAATTTGAGCCCTCTCATGTCTTAGAAGGAGACAAGGAGTATTGATTTACCACTTTTTTCACTGCAAGGATTTTTCCCCAGTACACTTACTACACGTTTATGAGTAAAATGGTAATAATGAAGACTTTGTCCATTGTTTTCATTAGTAGGATTTCTCTCCAGTATGAGTTTGTTCATGTCTGTGAAGCTGAAAAAATGTAGCAAAGGCTTTTCACATTGTTGACATTCATAGGGCTTCTCTCCAGTATGTGTTCTTCCATGAATCTGAAGGTGACTAGATCTAGCAAATGCTTTTCCACATTGTTGATGTTAAGAGGTTTCTCTCCAATGAGTTTGTTCATGTGAGTGAAGATGACAAGACTGAGTGAAGGCTTTGCCACACTGCTTACATTTATAGGGCTTCTCTCTAGTATGAGTTCTTCCATGTTTGTTAAGGCAACCGGACCTAGCAAAGGCTTTCCCACATTGTTGACATTCATAGGGCTTCTCTCCAGTATGTGTTCGTTCATGTGAGTGAAGGTTAGAGGACTGAGTGAAGGCTTTGCCACACTGCTTACATTCATAGGGCTTCTCTCCAGTATGAGTTCGTTCATGTATTCGAAGATAAGAGGAAGTAGTGAAGGCTTTTCCACATTGTTGACATTCATAGGGCTTCTCTCTAGTATGAGTTCTCCTATGTATGTGAAGGCAACTGGATGTAGCAAAGGCTTTTTCACATTGTTTACACTTATAGGGCTTCTCTCTAGTATGAGTTCTTTTATGTTTGTGAAGGCAACTGGATGTAGCAAAGTTTTTTCCACATTGTTTACATTCATAGGGTTTTTCTCCAGTATGTGTTCTTCCATGTATGTGAAGCTGACAGGATGTAGAAAAGGCTTTTCCACATTGTTTACATTCATAGGGCTTCTCTCCAGTATGCAATCTTCCGTGTGCATGAAGTTGATGGGATACAGCAAAGGCTTTTCCACACTGTTTACATTCATAGGGCTTCTCTCCAGTATGTGTTCGTCCATGAATCTGAAGGTGACAGGATCTAGCAAAAGCTTTTCCACACTGTTTACATTCATAAGTCTTCTCTCCAATATGAGTTTGTTTATGTGAGTGCAGGTGAAAAGACTGAGTGAAGGCTTTGCCACACTGCCTACATTTATAGAGCTTCTCTCTAGTATGAATTCTTCTATGTTTGTTAAGGCAACTGGATGTAGCAAAGGCTTTTCCACATTGTTGACATTCATAGGGCTTCTCTCCAGTGTGAGTTCGTTCATGTGAGTGAAGGTTAGAGGACTGAGTGAAGGCTTTGCCACACTGTTTACATTTATAGGGCTTCTCTCCAGAATGAGTTCGTTCGTGTATTTGGAGATAAGAGGAAATAGTGAAGGCTTTTCCACATTGGAGACATTCATAGGGCTTCTCTCTACTATGAATTTTTCCATGTTTATGAAGGCATCTCAAGGTAGCAAAGGCTTTTCCACATTGTTGACATTCATAGGGCTTCTCTCCAGTATGAATTCGTTCATGTGAATGAAGGTTAGAAGACTCAGTGAAGGCTTTGCCGCACTGCTTACATTTATAGGGCTTCTCTACAGTATGAGTTTTTTCATGTATTTGGAGACAAAAGGAAGTAGTGAAGGCTTTTCCACATTGTTGACATTCATATGGTTTCTCTCTATGAGTTCTTTCATGTTTGTGAAGGGAACTGGATGTTGTGAAGACTTTTCCACATTGCTTACATTCATAAGGCTTCTCTCCAGTATGAATTCGTTCATGTGCAGAGAGATTAGAGGACTGAGTGAAGGCTTTGCCACACTGCTTACATTTATAGGGCTTCTCTCCAGTGTGGATTCGTTCATGTATCTGGAGATGAGAGGAAGTGGTGAAAGCTTTTCCACATTGTTGACACTTATAGGTCTTCTCTCTAGTATGAGTTCTTCCATGTTTGTTAAGGCAACTGGATTTAGCAAAGGTTTTTCCACATTGTTTACAATCATTTATCTTCTCTCCAGTATGCATTCTTCCATGTATATGAAGCTGACAGAATGTTGCAAAGGCTTTTCCACATTGTTCACATTCATAGGGCTTCTCTCCAGAATGGGTTCTTTCATGTATTTGAAATTGAGGGAATGTAGCAAAAGCTTTTCCACATCGTTTACATTCATAGGGCTTTTCTCCAATATGAGTTTGTTCATGTAATTGAAGTTGAGAAGAACAAGTAAAGGTTTTGTCACATCTTTTACATTCATAGAGTTTTTGTACAGTATGAGTTTGTTCATGTGAGTGAAGGGTAGAACACTGAGTGAAGGCTTTTCCACACTGTTTACATTCATAAGGCTTCTCTCTAGTATGTGTTCTTCCATGTATCTGAAGGTGACTGGATCTAGAAAAAAATTTTCCACATTGTTTACATTCATAGGGCTTCTCTCCAGTATGCATTCTTCCATGTCTGTGAAGTTGATGGGCTGTAGCAAAGGCTTTTCCACATTGTTGACATTCATAGGGCTTCTCTCCAGTATGGGTTCGTTCATGTGAGCGAAGGTTAGAGGACTGAGTGAAGGCTTTGCCACACTGCTTACATGTATAGGGCTTCTCTCCAGTATGAGATCGTTCATGTACTTGGAGGTGAGAGGGAAAAGTGAAGGCTTTGCCACACTGCTTACATTTATACGACTTCTCCCCAGCATGAGTTTGTTTATGTATGTGAAGGGAAGAAGAATTTGAGAAGGCTTTTCCACATTGCTTACATTCATAGTGCTTCTTTTCAGTATGAGTTATTTTGTGTCTTTTACATGAACTGGGATTAGTGAAGGCTTTCCCACATTGCTCACATTTATAGGGCTTCTCTCTGGTGTGAGTTACTCCATGGCATTTAAGGGATTTGGAATATTTGAAGCCTTTCACCCAATTTATGCATTCATGGCATTGCTCCTCAGTAGGTGTTTGTTTATGTCTTCTAAATAGATAGGGAGAACAAAAGGCTTTTCCAAATACCCTATACCTAAAACGTTTATCACGACTGTGTGTTATCATTTGTCTCTGAACATTGGTGAAAGAAGAAGACGTCTCACCGCATTGTGTACTTTCATAGGGTTTCTGCCCAGTATGGGTTTCTTCATGTCTTTGAATGGAATCGGGACAATTGAAGACATTCCCACACACTGTACTTTTATAAGGTCCATTTACAGTTTGTATTAACATTTGTGTTTCACCACTTCTATGAGAAACCAGAGATTTCTCATATTGTTTAAATTCACATGGCTTCTCTTCACATTCCACATGCATGTAGGGTTTCTGTCCAGAGTGAGATGTGATCTGCCTATGAAGGAATAAAGGACATATGAATTCTTTTGAATACATAATGCAGTAACATGGATTTACTCTATTAAATTTTTTCTTTGTCAAGTTAATTTAACCATGACTTCTATAAAAATGACCAGCACATTATCAATGCTTGATTTATTAATGGTTTTCTATTCATTAATAGGCCTATATTACCACCAATGCAGTTAAACAGTAGGTTTTCTGACTTGTTCAAATTAGCCTGAAAATAAACAGCCTGAAAGAAAACAATCCTTACCAACACAGTTTCCCTATAGATTTGATCCAAACAGTGATATGCACATATGCAATTTCATAGTATTTTTTTTCATGTTGACTACTTTGAAAAGACTGAATATCTATGTTACATACAAATATATATATATATATCTGGTAAAAAATATTTATAAGAATAAACACATTTCACATTGTACATATTTCTTTGGTTGGTTTGTTTTAAAAATCAGATGACATCGTAAGATTTCCTCAAGGACATTGCCCCCTCTGGTGAGTACAATTACCTTAGACTACTCCCAGAATTTTCAATCTGAACTTCAATGTTCTTGTCTTCCCATGTGTTTCCTAAAATGGCAACACAGAACAATCATTATGTATTACTTATGAGCTAGAAAAACTTTGCCACAGTCTACGTGCATTTTATGTTGCAATAATTCATCAAAGGATTCCCTTTTCACATTCTACATAAATGACCAAATAAACACTGGTTCTCTATTTGACTAAATAAAGAAACATCACTATTACCTATAGTAGTGAGGTTTCTGAGGACTTCCAGCATCACATCTCTGTAAAGATTCTTCTGGGATAGATCCAGCAAAGTCCATTCCTCCTGGGTGAAGTTCACAGCCACATCCTCAAGGGTCACTGAGATCTAAAATATCACACAAATATGTACTGGAGGCCAGAAGAGATGATAACCTGGGGAATCTATAATCAACATGCATGATGTTCACATGATTCTCTGGCCTCCAGATAAATTCCATGATTTGGTCCATCAAATCTTTAATGCACTATATTCCTCATAGCCATTCCAACACTAGAATTGGGCCACTCAAAAGTCAAACAGTAGAGTGTTTGACACCCTTCCTAGTGGTAAGTTCACAGGAAATAAGACATGCTCCCTGGTTACTCCTAACCTTTTTTTGTTGGTTACACGTGTATTACACGTTCTAACAATGTCCTGTGCAGTACAAAGCTAACATTAGCACTCCTGATATTATTTACCCTTAGAAAAGAAAGGTGACGGAGTAGGAAATTGCTGGAATCAGGAAACTCAGCATTTGAGACAAATCCTGCAAACCACAGTGGTTCACTGTACCTATACAGTTTATGTAAACAACATGGTATTTCTGATCTGTTTTCCTTCTAAAAGTCTATTGTTCCTTCCTTCCAGAAGTGCCTATAATCACCCCTCACACACACCCTCTGGGCATGCGCTCACTAATAAGCTTTCCTCCCAGATAATCTTCAACCACTTAGTCACAATGTTAATTGGGGATTATTCTCATCCTGTGTAATGATTAAACCAAGAGAACACATATAATTTGTCAGGTGCTTTACTCCAGATCAAATTTAGCCAAGTAATAAGCAAATGCAATGATCAATAACAGAATAATTTGATAATTTCTAATGGTTAATGTCAAAGCAAAATGGGGTAAATGGGAAGATGGCATGTGTCTTAGAAATAAGTCAACGTCCCCAAGATGTCACCTTCTCCTAACAACCTTACAAAGTTTTATAAGTCTCATAATAGAAACCACTTTTCCAAACTCACAGGAATAATGAACGTCCAGCAACTGCCAAACACTGCAGAACAGCAGAGGGTTCACTCACATAATGTATAGTCATGCGCCACATAGCCATGTTTTGCTCAAGGACATTGTGATCAAGGATGGGCAAATGTGTAATTGTGGTCTGTTGTGAAAGAGATTCTGCACGGCTGTAGAGATGCTGATGCAAAAAAACGTAAGGCAGGAGAACTTCCACGGTGTGACACACAACCACACTCAAGGCCTTAGACATGGGACATTCAGAGCAGCACAATATCAGCAAAAGTTAGCAAATGACCATAAGAAAGCATTCAGTGGGTTGGCCTTCAAGGATTGGAAAGATGATGAGTGACAGCAGGTGTTTGAGACAGATCACAATTGTGGTCCAGGCAAACAGAAATCCGAGGGGTAAAGGCAGTGCATCCCTCTATTTTCTAGACAAAAAGACCATTTATTATACATTCAAATGTGAAAGAATAAAATACTTTTCAAAAACCTACAGAAAATTAATGTAAATTTATTTATGGTGGGCAAATTAAAAAAAGAAAAAAGAATGCATGGAGTGAACCCAGGGCTGCTTAATGATTGAGCTACATCCTGAGCACATGTGTTATTTGTAGACAGGGTCTTACTAAGTTGCTCAGGCCAAGGACACTGAGATCTGGAAGCAACAGTTTATTAGTGGCACCATAGCCCAGAGGAACAATTCTTAAAGCCCAAGCCATAAGAAAGTTTTTGGTACCTCAAGTCAAGGGAGCTGGTGCAATATTTTGGAGGGTGCATATTATATTCTTAATGGGCATAAGCCTGTCAACAGTCTAAGAACTCAGCTTACACAGTTTAGGGACTTTTACTTCACTAGGTCTATAGAGGGATTGTTCTGTTCCTGCTACTTTGTTCGCTGCTTCTGCTATCATGGTTATTTTGTTACAGGCACCTGCAGCTGCTGCAATCCTGCATGAAATGTCAGTTAGCAGAGCTGCTGTGGGTCAGCCTGCAAAACCACAGCCAGTCAGCTCTTAAACTGTGAAAGTTTCCATCCTTCCTACCACAAGGAATTCAGGGAAATCTGTCAAACTGGCTGAACACAAGCTAATTCACTATACATAGCACAAACAACAAACTTTCTAGGAAATGCATGAAGCCTTCAACAAACAGGAACAATACCACAGGAGAAAGAGAAGAAAAACATTTCCATTTACTTTTCAAAAACAACAAACATTTACAAAGTATACTGAGAAACAGAAAGGCCCAGCTTATCAAATAAACACTTGAGATAGACCATCTCGGAGAAAGATCAGACTCTAGAATCCCTACACTAAATGTCTTTCTTTTCTTTCTTCCTTTCTTTTTCTTTTTGGTACCAGGAATTGAACTCAGGAGTGCTTAACCTCTGATCCACACTCCAAGCCCTTTTAATTTTATTTATTTACTTTATTTTGAGATAAGGTCTCTACAAGTTGTTTAGAGCCTAAGTTGAAATTGTAAACCTCCTGCCTAAACCTCCTGAGCTGCTGGGATTACAGGCATGCGCCACCGAGCCAGCCCTAGGTTAAACACAGTCTTGAACTTTTTAATATGCATGCACCTGAAAGAAAGTCAAAATACACTAGGCAGAGACATACAGAACTGCCCAGGACAATAAAAACCCACAGTTACACTGGGAGACATCAGCACAACTCTGTTGAGTCTGAGACCACACAGCAGAGGAGCAGACAGGAGGACTTCCCTGGCCTTTAGCCAACAATGAAGCACACAGCCTTCTCAGGGCCACAGCAACACCCTCCAGGACAGTGCACATTCTGAGCCATAAACCACACCCCTACAAGTGTGCAACACCAGTGAAATCCCAAGCATGCTCAAAGAACATGGGAATTAAAGCTGAAATCAGACCAGAAGCAGCTGGAAAGCCTCCAGGAAATGAAAGGTGAAACATAGGCTCTAAACAGACACAGGAGGAAGAGATGACTCAAGGGAAAAGTTGACCATTTTGAGAGAAATGGAATGCAAAAGTGCACTGTAGGAAATCAGACAGTGCTTCAGGGATATATAAGGCATCTATTGCACATTTCAGAAGAGCTAAAAGCAATAATTGAACCTTCTATAATTCAGGAAACCAGAGAAAGACGACCAAGGGAAATGTAAATGAAGCACAAGAAAATAAAAGAAAGACTGTTGATGAACCCACAATCAGGAAATCAACAACCTGCAGAACGAAATTCTTCATGAACATCAGCATCACTAAAAAACTGATATGAGAGGATGAGGTTCA